ACTGCATCTTAGGGTCCCCTCTTGACCTGTGTTTCTGTAGCTGTGGGAAGGATTGGGGATTTTTTCCTTCATTTTCTAAAAAAGTGTATGTGACAATGGAATAAAATAGGTTAGATTTGATCTAGGAAGGTAGGTTGAGTGCAGTTTGAGAAAATTAGTTGAACTGAAGTGTGATTAGCCTGATTGTTTTTATAAAGTAATTAAATCTGTAGCTTTAATCAGAAAGATGCAAATTCTTTGATGGAAGGAGAAACAAAGGGGTGAGGACTTCTAATCTGATCAGGGAAGTTGACTTTAATACAGATGAATTGAAAGGCTGGGCCTCTTATAAACAAGGTAAACTTAGATGAACAATCTGGAGGGAGAAGTGTTACCACCTGATTTGGTTAAAGCTACTCGGAAGGTGGTGGCTCTATAAGCAGAGGCTCACTGGTGGCCTGGTCTAGAAGTGGACAGATTTGTGGCCCCTTACCTTCAGAGGCTGCCAGCTGATACGGATACCTAAGTCCACAGGAACATGAGAGGTAAGCTCTATGGTGCATCATCTGCTGCTTTTCTTGTACCTGAAGACTTGGTTGTACTGGGAGTTTGTTTTACCAGCATTCAGGAATTGTGACTGCATGAGTTCAAGTCCCTGTTACAAAAACAATAAAAATGTGGTTTGCACTGATGTTGTTTCAGGCATAGTGGAAGTAACAGCATTGACAAGGACATTCTCAAGTTTGTTTGTGCTGCTGGAAGCTACTGGTAGTTAAAACCTAAAATGAACCCCTAAAGCCTAATTCTATGCTTGCAGATATTTCATTGTGTAGAAAAGTTACAGCAGCTTATTGCGTAGTTTGTGTCTGTCTTTTGCTGTGTTACTGTAACCTCATTTGGATATTTAAATAATATACAGACTCTGGTTTTTCCTAGTGACTTGATCCACAAGATAATTCAGTGTTATTTTAAACGATGTTTTGGAAACGGGTTTCTCTAAAGTTCACATGCTTCTAGCCAATGATGTGTAAGGCAGAGCCCTTGCAAGGGATTGTCCTGTAGAAAGCTCACAGGCATCTTAGAGTGCACACTTTCTTCGGGTCCTGCCCTGTGGAAATAGGATTTTCTTTCCATCGTTTATTTGCCTAGGACTCTGCTTAAGGATCTAGGTCTTTGGGGATTTGTGCACAAATAAAATTTTGCACCTCGACCCTTATTCGTGTCTAGCTTCGTAAGCTTAGCTGTTGAGATATTTGCTGATAGTCTGTCCTTTTAAAACAGACTGTGGAATAAACTAAGTCATCCATGGAAAACTTTGAACTGTGTGGAAGGTGATGATTACTGAGTGGACAGAAGGTTTGCAAGGTGCATTAGAAGTGCCTCTGAAAACATTAGTCATTGTTACCAAGCAAAATACTTAAATGAGAGTGCGAAGTGATAGGAATGAGAATGAGCAAGTGTTACAGCCAAACTAAAACTTTAATTTTCACTGGGCTGAAATTTCTCTGGTTTCGCTCATGCTTGGATCTTGTTGGGAGAGGGATATCTCTTCAACTGGAAGGAAAATCCTTTCATGTTGTTTTTCTCTTAAATTAAGATCTTCCACTGTAGGCTGGCAGCCTGGGACTGTGGGCTTTTGGTTATGCATTTGGTTTTCTTATAATTTCTCATTCAGCTGTCCAGTTTGACTATACATTCACTTTGTTACTGAGTTGAAATTAGTCAAAACAGAGACTCTTAGCAGCAAGATCAGAAAAAGGTCTCATTTTAAGACAAGGTGAACTTCACTGTGTGGCCTGGTATCGAGATTGGAGTGTGTTGTGTCCCTTCTCTTAGCCTGTGTACTGGTGATTTCATTAAATCTTGCTGAATGCAGAGAGTGTTTAAGGTTCGTGTGAGAATTTTGCAGACTAATTTTTTAGTTTTGCAGCAGTTGAGCTGGAGGCTTAGTCTCATTAAGTGTTTCTTCATTTGCCAAAGTTGGTTTTATATTTTTTCCTTCCTTTTTTTTTTTAAACCACATTATATATTGATATAGGTTCTTCTTTAATTGCAAATGAAAGATGAGTAACAACAGTATTTTAGGCTAAGTGAATATTCCAGATTTATGATATATTTCAGCTGTTCAAAGTAGATTAAAATCTGTACTCCTTTGGGCAGTACTTGACAAAGAGGATAGGTATGCAGAAACAAAGTACAGTTGCTCTGAAGCCTATGTTATGCTGTATGTGGAAAGCCTGTCCATTGAGGAAGGAACCCTCATCTTTTATTTACAAAGTGTAATTTGCAGATTTTCAATACAGTAGCTAGTGAAATCTGCAGCAAGGGTAGCCTTTGTTTTCAGCAGAGAAAACGATGCTTGCAGTAAGCATGTAAAAGTTCTTCTCTTTAAATGTAAAGCCTCTTGCACTGGCCAAATGGAAGGCAAGGCCTTCACAATTGCAGGGACTGCTGTATAGGGAGGGATTATAATTCTTAACACCAGAGCCTCTTGCAGCATCCTCAGAGGTAGTATGGTTTTACACTGCCCCTTACTGGGGTTCTCTCATGGTGCAAGAACTAAAGGAGATCTGGATGCCCAAAAGTTTGCTCTATTTGGGGTTTTTGCAGGTTTTTTTCTCCCCGAGCTATGAGCTAAATAAAATACAGTGCTCTTCTTGTGTGTCAAAATGGATTATTTATATTAAAAGTTATTTTACACTTGATTTTAGTATTTCTTGATGTTCAGATGTTTCATTGTGTCCTTCAGGTTTCTTTGAAATCTTCTTATGGAGTTTGGTGATCATGGTGTTTGATACACATCCAAACTGGTGGAAGCCATGAAAGCTTTGAATGAACTCGGATTTGTCTTTCATTTTAAACTAGTGACCAACAGGCATGACTTTGGGCTACATTGACACTACATTGCCATTCATGACAGATTAAAAGATCTGAAAGAATGAGGAATGAGAATCAAGAGGGAATTCGGCCTGTTATTCCTGGGAAGTAAGATAGACCTGAGTTCGCTAGACAAACTTAAAACAACCTCACCATTTGGCTTTGTTTGCTAAGAATATTCTTCTCTGTAGAATTGAGGGCATTTTGTTTAGCTAAATGGGTTACTTGGGTAGAATGTTAATCAGGGGAGAAACAATGCTGTGAATTTTTCAGCTTTAAACTGAAAGGTAACTGAGTTGACTAATCAGTTCTGTTCCCATGGCATGTGGCACTAGCAGAGATCTTATTTAGGACTTACTTTTCTGTCTTACAGTACTGACATGGAGTTAAGTTGGTGAAGTTTTGGTATGTAATGTGAATGTCCTGGTATTCTGTGGAGCCTAATGAATTACCATTTTGTTGTGTAGAAGGAAGCTTTGAAGTGCTTTTAACTGGTTGATGCAATCAGTTGTATTTCAAAATTGAGCTTAAAAGTATAAAATGTCCTCATAACTTATTGAACATTAGGCTTACTTTGTATGACAGCTTTCATCTTTATATCTGTTGTACTTTTTGGGGGAGGGCTTTTCAACGTTATCTGAAGTGCAGTGGGTATCGGGTGGGAATCAAAAAACCAGAATACTAACCTGGCTAGATTCCCAGCTCCTCTTGTGATGCACAGTTAAGTACCCCATTGTAGGAACTAATTACTCAGGTTAAAGGATTTGTGAAAATGCTTAAATGCTTCTTGACAATCTGGCTGTATAACCATACAGTACAAAGTTTTAAAACTGGTGATTCTTACTGGGGTTAATTTGATGAAGAAAAATGTCTGCTGGGGCATGGAAAAAAGGCAGCAAAAGTAGCCTTGTTACAGACAGCTTCCCTTTGCTTACTGCTAGAAAAGTCTTTCTGTGCAAAAACTGCAAGCTGCTTTATAGAGTGATGATGGCAATGGACAGAGTGTGAGGGGTTTGTGGCTGAATCTTCTGGTGAGGAAGAGTGACCTGTGATGCTCTGGTGGTCCATGGACTTAATAGGGAAAAGTACAAAAATGTCCAGGAGAAAAATACATTTATTCTGAGATTGCTCAAGAGTCAGGAACTGGTACTCTGAGGAAGAAATACACCATTAAAGCATTAATGAAGAGTGTTTTTCCTTAACTTGTTGACCCAATAGCCTGTTAGCCCTCGTGGACTGCTTCATCAGGCTTTTCAGAGACCACATTCTAATAGGACAACTTGGTTTGCAAATACTGTTTCATTTGGCTGCACAGAACAACTCTGAGTCACTTTGGCCTCACGGCCTACATAATTTGTGAGTTAGTCTATAACTAATTGTTATGAAGAATTCCTGTAGTCTAAAGATTGTAGTCACAAGAATCAGTCTCTTCTAAGACACCTGCATTTGGATGTTTCTAACTAATGACTAGCACTTTTTTCAAGTACATAAAACTACCCTTTTAAATGGGCACAATTATCAGAAATGTTATTGGTGACAGTTTGTGAGAGTTCCAGCACTAAATGGTGGTATCTCAAGTTCTCTAATCTGAGGTGGTCTACTCCATTTTCAAAAAGGTTTCCTGAATGACTGTCAATCTTCCCAGGTCTACCAAAAATTTAATGTTGTTGAATGTTATAAATGTGTTTCTGCATGTGCTCTCAAAGGCCAGCATTTTGAATGCCCAAATAAAGAGAAGAAAGGTTGAGATAGTGATATTTATCAAATGAATTGTGCTCAGTAACCGTGTCTAAGGAACTCTGACTTCAAAAAAAGCTATGAAGTCACAGAAAGGTTAGCTAGCCCTTGTTAATCTAAACTCTTTTATCCTGCCTAATGAAGGGAAGCAACATCATAAAGCTAATCTGCAGGCTGGAACTGTCAGTACTATTACTAATTTTTTTTTATTTTTTTTTTTTTAAAAAACAAGACTGAATGAACCATGAAAAATAAATTAATGATAACCTGATTTTGTATCCCATGCAGGTTTTCTCAAGTTCTGGAAGTAGCAGGGCATTTGGTTGCTAACTGACCTGAAAGTTGTGCTCTACCTTGGAAAGATCTGCAGTGGGAGACATTCACCTTCACATACCCCACAGTTCTCTGCATCAGAAGAAAGGAACTTCATGTGCAAGAGTGGTTCAAGATGATGATGTAATGTCGATAACACTGAAGGTCTCCCAAGAATAACTGATTTTGTAGGAGGCTTCTCCCTTCCCTCCCCCTTCCTTTGTTTTTTTCTTTCTTTTTTTTTTTTTAATAACTTCCTCTCTCAGAAACTACGAGCAAGATGCCAGCCAAGACACCCATCTACTTGAAAGCTGCTAACAATAAGAAAGGGAAGAAATTCAAACTAAGGGATATCTTATCTCCTGATATGATCAGTCCACCACTTGGAGATTTTCGTCACACCATACACATTGGAAAAGAGGGACAACATGACGTTTTTGGAGACATCTCCTTTTTGCAGGGCAACTATGAGCTATTGCCTGGAAATGAAGGAGAAACCAGAGATAGCCAATCTGGTGGCCACAGTGAATTCTTAAGGGCAAACAGCACTTCTGAATCCATGTTTACAGAAACTCCATCACCAGTGCTCAAAAATGCTATTTCCCTTCCTGCCATTGGGGGTTCTCAAGCCCTTACACTGCCCTTACTGTCACCAGTGACATTTAATTCAAAGCAAGAATCCATCAGGTCATCGAGAAATGCTAGGCTTAGCTGTGAGCCAGTAATAGAAGAAAAATTGCAGGAGAAAAGTAAGCAGATGGAGGATGGAGAAACATACAAAGATGACATATGGGAGCAAAATGGTTCTTCTTCACATTTTACTAATGGTAGAGACAGTCACTCATCCAGCTTTTCTGAACGATGCACTGATTGGCAAACAGTTGATTTATTTGATGACAGTCGACTTTCACGTGAACTAACCGAGACAAAGACTAAGTCAGAAGAATCCCTTTCAGATCTTGCAGGCTCTCTTCTCTCATTACAACTTGACTTGGGACCTTCACTTTTGGATGAGGTCCTCAATGTAATGGACAAGAATAAATCTTAGAACTGGTACTCCCTTGTTTCTTTACAAGTGATTCACTTAAACAAAAACAAACAAAAAAACCATAGTCCGAAAGTAGAGACACTTAAAAATCAGCTGTATTTGCAGTTGTTTGACGGGTTTTCTAAAAATATTCTTAAAATGCTATTTTTTTACCTATTGTTTTTCATGATTTTTATTACACTAAATTCTCATAGCAGGAAGCTAAATTTTAATAAGTTTTCAGCAAATATAGAAAGTTTTTAAGTACCAGTATTAATGATCAGAAACTTAAGAAGCAGTTTGAGGATGATACCGATTGTGACATTTGGTTAGTTCACTTCTATGGGCTTCTGAATACATGAGAATCTCAAAGTGTCAGAAAGGAGACTGATATTAATTATTCACTTTTATAAATTATTATGACATCACTTTACATGTAGGCCTCTTTCTAGAACCTTGTGTTTGGGGGTTTGATAGTGTTTTTCTTCATTTTCTATAGTACCATTTCTGTTATAACTTCACTGTAACTACTTTCTTGGTCTTATACTACCACTCTGTATTCAGATGTGAACAGTTTGAAGGCTTTTTCAGCTTGAACACCTGGTCCAGAGTCTCAGCTGCTTTAAATGAATATGCACAAATTTACACAAGTTGAGGCTTGGGCCTGACATTGTATATGAAATAATATGTTGTAAACAGGTGACACATGCAAGATGATATGGTTAAATTATTTTAAAAGTTGAAATATATTTTTTGTGTGCATATTGGCTTTTTACTGCAGAGCCTATACATACAGTATCTCATCAAAATAGTTGCTTGGCATTATTGGTGCTCTTCTGAAAATTGTATATTTGTGTGTTTGAAAAGAAGTATGTATTGATACTCCTTGCTTTTTTTCTTCATTTATTGCCACACATGCTTAAACTTGCAACCAATTATTTTAATTTTTGAAGAAGGCACTGGTTATTCACAATGCTTGTGATATGTGCTGCAACAGCCAATGTTTTGGGAAATGTGGATCCTTTAATACAGTACCTACATGGATTGCATAGATATCGTGTGCAATACAATAAAAAAACCCTTTAAATTGCTATGTCTTTGTCATTCAGTACATAGCCTCACCAAAAGACAAAGTTTTGTTTTCTGCTGTAATGAAACAGACTGCAGTAGAGTTGCAGAAATATGGGACCAAGGGGCAGATCAGTTCTACTATCTTAATTCAGTTGACTTCTCTGATTCATTTTACTTCCCAAGTTTTTAAGGGCAAACTCCAAGCAGGTAGGACCCTCTAGGATATACACTGATTTTAAGTAATTGGAGGCAAGAGACTGATACTTTGGTCCTAGTGAAGCTAATGGCAAAGCTCCAGCAGCTTTCACTGGAGTCTTTAGGTAAAATCCTGACACCGTTTGTAGACTATTCTTCATTAGATAACCACATTTATCTGTATCTTCCTGTCAGAACATGTAGGTCATGGATGATTTAATGTATATTATATTTATCCTTAAAATTTCTGTGGAGTCAATGCCAACTAATTCCATTCTTTCAGTGTGTTTTGGGAACACAGTCATTACCCCTGTTTCTGGTTAAGCACTTATATTAATGTGCATTAATGAGACGTCCTGTAAATGAGGAACTGAGATGTAGAATGGTCAAGAAGTGTGTTTATTTTTAAGAAAATGCTTAATTGCCTTCTACTTCATATTCTCTGTGTATAAGCCTGGATCAAATTTCCAGTGCATTCGTGATCCAAGAAGAATGGTGGTTCTGTGACTATAGTGCTTTTTGTATTTTAGAAAGCAGGTTCAAGGCTCTGCTTGGCCACATGTTTCTTGTGGGACCGGGGATTTAGAACCTAATGAGAATTTAGGCCAAAACTTTAACTGGAAAAATCTGTCAGTCATTAGCATAGGGAAAGTTTGGATGAAATGGTAAATTAGACATTTTCTTTGTAGACCAGCTTCAAATACCATGATTAGAACATTAAAACTATTTGCTGGATGAAAAGTCATTATCTTGCAGGACTTTTCAGGTAAGTATTCTCTAGAAAGCAGAAACAGATTCTTAGAGAGCTATTGCAGTTGTGTTATTTTTGCTTTGTCGTGTTTTATACTTGATTTCCTGGTTTAGTTTGCCAAAAAATGTCTCACTGTTGCAGGAGGGTTTGGGCTGTATTATCTTTCCTATGTGATTGCTCTTCTAAATTTGTAAATCCTTAGGTCTTGTGATGAGGGCAGGTGTTCTGAACTAAAATAATAGCCATTGCTCCAGGCAAAAAGAACTACAGTGTTGTGAAGGAGAACCTTTGCTCAAGTCAAGAACAGGAATTTTACTTTGGCAAAGTAGATTTCATATTTCTTTAAAGCCTTCTTGTTACTTCCCTCAGAAGATGGATCCGTGGATTGTTCAGACCTGCTCATTTACATGTAAAGACCTAGAAGATGCAAAGTTGAAATGTGCTCAGCTTCTGTTCTGATGTGGTCTTCTGTAAATTACTGCTTTGTGTAATCTGATCTGGCATCTCAGCTGCTACAATACAGCTTGTCAGATCAAAACCTTGAATTTCTGGTTTGTGAGAAGTTCTGCCTTCCTGAAGCCTTGATAAAATTCTTAATGGAAAGTAGTCTTTCTAAGGGGGAGTTAACACTGCAATTTCTTGAAAACCAAGATACTGCTGCAAGTTGGCCTTCTCGATGGAACAGAGGACTGGAAGGAGTTGCCTTGGATATGGCATCAATTTTCTGTGGCCCTGGGGAAAAGTATGCTAACTATACAACTGCCCAGAAAGTTCCACAGATGCTTCAGAAGTCTTTCAGTATGCCAGGACACAATTCCCCATCTCTTCTATCTGGAGTAGTACTGTGAAGACCTAAAGATGTAATCTAAAGGTGCCAGAGGAAGAAAGCAGAAGCCATAAAGCACATTCCTAGTTCCTACATGAGTATTTGCTAAATTCCTCATCTGTACAATCCTACAAGCTGGGCTATGCACAGTACAATACAAAAACATACCAAAAGTCCAATAATCATCCAACTCAAGAACACTTTAACCCCTGCCCCAGTTCCCCTGCCAACCTAACTGAAGTGATCAGTATTGTGCTGAGGATGTCAGTGGGAAGTAAAGAGCAGGTCAAATGCTGGGAAGTGCACAATCCCACATTGATCTCTGCCTTTTTCTAACAAGGACCAAATCTAATGCCCTAGAGAAAAGTGCAAAACAACCCTCCAAGCTAGTTCACAGCTGAAGGATGGAGAACAGCCTGACAAAGAGGCTAGCAGGAACCCTGAGACAGGGGTTTGATGGAAACAGTTTGTCCAAACACATAGTTTCTTTTGAAAGTCCCTTGTATAATTACATTAAATAATCAATGACTTCCACAGCAACCTTACTTTCCTCCCCACATTGACAAAGCTACATTAGTAAAAATTGCTCATCATTGACATTTGCTTGAATTCACACTCTTGAAATGTTAATGTACTGAAGATATCCATTTCATTTCACCTGTTTACCCATACCACTACAAAGTGTATACAGGACAGAACCACCTGGATTTGCTGGCAAATGTGTATAAATAACTGTACAGTATGTGAACATGACAAAAAAGGGCAGAAAATAAAAAAAAAAAATCTGAAGAGAGTCATAAACAATACCTTGTTAAAGGATGATTTTCCTTTGTAGTCCTTTTTGCATTTACTGGTGTTAACAAGGAAGCTAGTTATCAGGGTTAGGTCTGAAGGATGTTCTCTAATTTGTATAGGGAATTCTCAATAAGCAACAAGAATAGGCTGAGGCCAAGTTTTAGAAAAACATAGGAGGTATATAAGCTCAAAATTTTTTTCATTCCTGCTAGAATTAGTGAGAGAAGGGACACTTCAGGTGGCTCCCTTTTTGAGAATGTCAATCATGACCAGAATTGGAAGCAGCTGTTTGATTTGTCAAATACAAATAACCCAGATGAAAGCCTAGCAGGGAAGGTGTTGGATCCAGCATAGTGAGGCCAAATAAAGTTTGGATGATGCAAGAAGCAGCTAAGAAAGAAACACACTGAACTTTATTCCAAGGAAAGAAATTAATGGTTGTTGTAAACAAATTAATTAAATTAGCAGTGACCTAACTGTTCTACTTGCATCCATTTGCTTTTCATATTAACACGAAGTACATTAGTACATCTGTTTCCTATAAATGCTTTCATTTTATGTTTTTTTAAAGAGGTTTCCTCATTCAAATGCAAGGCTGGATTCATCACTCACTGCTTCTCTCTAGTTAACATTTTACAAGTGCTAGAAAATCAAGGAAATGCCCAATACTTTCTGTTTACTTTTGAATATTGTAAGCTATTTTCTCCTTATAACAATTATAAAAGGACTGATTTTCTTCTGGAATAAATTAACATCACTCCAATAAAATCACAAATTCTGATTTATACCAGAGTATTCCCAGAGAGAAATAAATTTCCCAGAATATTTACACCAGAAAGAATATTCTTTTTTCACAGGTAAATTGCTGCATGACCCTACACATTCTTCAAGCTATTTCTTTTCCTCATTGTCTAAGACAATTCTTTCTTAGTTTGTGCTCAGGGAAACTAGGACTTTAGCTTTGTGGATGGGTGACTTTTAGTCTGTGCTATGTTTCCTTGGCTTCTTAAGATATTCCTGTATTTAGGAACCTTTCTTCTATTAGAACCTCCTGTCAGGGTGCCATGCAAGTTGTGGCAGAGGTGGAGACCAGCACTCCTGTGGTATCGCTAGGGCAGGAACTGAAGGCTCTGGGCTGACCCGAAATGGGGCTTCTGAGCCCATGGACAGGGGTGGGGTCCCACTTGAGAACCCTGACACCTCTGGCAGATTTTTGTGGGCAATACTTTTAACCTGAGAGATGCAGCTCAATTTTTATCTTCAGTAAGTCATAGTCACAGAAGCCATCTAACACACTATTAGATTTTGATTCAGTACAAATGAAGGAGCCTTGGGCTGTTCCCTGTTTGCTGCATAGGATGGAACAATCCAGCAAAGAAACGTCAAAACCATTTGCTCATTTAGCAAATTGCTAATGCCATTCCAGGGCACCTAACTGCCTTATTAAAAAATGCTGCAGTTTTACAAGGCAAAGTGCTGATCAGTAAAACTACTTCTCAAGAAGAAAGTTGCTCCCACATATTGCAGAAATAGCTGTATTTTGGTAAAATTCACACCAAGTTAGATACCACGTCAGCAGTTATCCAAGTAGATTTTTTGCCATTCCCTTCTTGCCTCCTTTCAGCTGTAAGTGCTTTCAGGTCACAGTCCCCAAATGTTCCCCAGAGATGGTCATATTACACTGTAAGATACCATCTCATGCACTTTTGAAAGATTAGTGGTTCTGGACCTTTCCTTGCTTCTTTACAGACTTCTCCATATATACAGTCAGATCAGTTGCACCTAATGAAAGTACATCAGGCCCAACCCAGAGCCAGAACTAGTTGCAGTGGAAACCACTCGCCATAATTTGGTCCCCAGGAGCTATCTGTTGCAATGTCAACTGAAGTCATACCGACCAGCTGGGAGTCCTGGAAGGAGACACCCAGGAATAGGCCCATCACTGGGAATGTGAAGAATAATGCCATCTGTTTTGCCAAACACATATCTGGAGGATCTAGACCCAAGAAGGATCATGGCTAGCCCCTCAAGATTCATCTTCAGGACAGTCATGGGGAATGACAGCTGCCCTCAGTGTGCAAGTATATTAGCTCTACCATCAATTTTGTTCTTGGCCAGGAAGCAGATGCAGGATTTGATTACAAGGGATATATGAGTGAGCATAAGGCAGAAGCCTTTGTTCAAGACAGTTCCAGTCTTCCAAGGCAGGGGAGCAAGGTCAAAGCAATGGGTGACCAGAGAGACAACAGGTCACTGGGGAGCAAGAGTGAAGGAGAAGCAGGAGAAAGGTCCAGGAACAGGTCTAGTTGGAAGACACAGGACCAAGAACCTCACATGAACAGCACTGCTGCAGATTAGGAGTCCTGCCTTATGAACTAATTTGTCAACTGCAAAGGTTTTGTTTTAATTCCTCTGGGCACGCTTACAGCTCCCAGGTGCTTTGCCAAAAGG